CGCACATAGAGAATTTTATAAAAATTGCTATAGGACTTTATGACGCCCCGAGGAATAAACGGACATTCTCTGCAGTAAAATTCATTTCATATAAATGTTGCTTACACTTTAGAAACTGAAATGCGTTACCAAAACACTTGTCAAAAGAAATGTTTTACTGACACGGATAGAATCCTAAAGCTACAATGTGTTCTTTGGTTTCTATTTCTTTCTCTTTATTCTATTCTGACTTAAACTTTAAGCCTTTTAAGCCTTAAGCCCTAAGCCCTAAGCCTTAAGCCCTAAGCCTTAAGTTTGATTTAGAATGTGCTCTTTGTTTCTTGTTATTTTCTCTTTCTGATTAAATTTTGAGCCTTTAATTAGAAAAAGATAAAAAATGAGAAATAGGAAACGAAAATTATATTATAGATGAGGCTTTAAGCCAGAAAAAGACAGAGAATTAGAAACAGGAAGCAAAGAGCACATTAAGTAGATTAAGTTTGAATCTCTCAACTAAAATTCATCTATTATTATTTTTTTTTTTATATCCGTTGGAAAATTGTCCGTGGCACTAAATATTTAGCAATATCTGCAAACACAGATCCCGTTACTAATTATTAATTTGGCTTTAATTTGGATGAGCGCCACAGAGAAGTCTTTTTGCTAACAAATAGTTGTTACAAATAGTTCAGACTCCGTCTCTGTCATTTATATTAATAAAAAATACAATATCGCGAGGTTTGTTAGTCATTTGTCCATTTCAGCTAATTTCTCGTGTCTAGGTAATATTCGCTGTGTGACTGCAAAACGATTTTTTTGGGGCGAGATCCACTTAACGCTGCGAATGCTCCGAGGCACTCTATAGATCGATCAATCTTTCTTTACGTGCTCCAAAGCATTTGCAAATCCAAAGCATTTGCAGACCCAAACAGATCGTACCCTTTGAGCGTATGTTTTTAGCGAAATCTGTCATATTCTCTGACAAGATAAACCTTACCGATAGTCCATTATCGGACTACTAAAAACAGTAAAATTGCGAAGAATTTATAGGAAAGAAAAAACTATAATATTCTCTCCGTGTAGCAGTAGCGGGACCGTACCGAAGAGATCGGTCTCGAAACGGCGAATGTCCGTCGCGAACGCGTCGGTATGCGGCGGCGACGGCGGCGGTGGTGGTGCATGCTCTCCGCAGCCGCTGGAAAACCGTTGTACAGCGGCTCGTCTTGAGCCGTCTGCGACGCGACGTCCCACGTTTTTCCGAGAAGCCGAGTAGAATCTCTATTCTACGACCGTGACGAGCTATTGAGACCGAGGGCGCACCCGCAACCGAGATTATACGCGCTTCTGGCGCCGAGAAACCGTCGTCGTCGTCGTCGTCGTCGTGATGCCGAGAGCCGCAAAATGTGCTGATTTCGCGAGACAGAAATGTCGTGCCTCGACTCGTGTACTTCGCACACGTGAGGAGGCGGAAGATCCTGACTTTGACTTTAAACTCCCTCGTTTGTTTGGCACGCGTACACTTCGAGAGCTTGATTGGCTAATTATCTCCGCTATTTTGAGAAAAATGCATCGCAGTAGTTAGCGCGAATAAGTCGATATTCAATGCCGTGTTGATTTGAATATGGTAATGCAACAACATAAATATACATGGCAGAAGAGAAAATATCTGTGCAGCATATGTAATTATTAATAAACAATAATTTATATTCGAATAATCCTACTCCGTACGTGTATAATATGTTATTAAATTATTAGTTAGATTTATGAGCACATAAGTATGTTTATTTTCTAAAGAAATCATTATTTTCCCGAAGATTTATTTCTGTAGATTTCTTGCAGTGAAATTTCGCTTGGAAAATACAACGAACTTGAATGCGAATGATTCTGCATTCACGTAAATTTTCTATTCCGAATCGTCTGAGTGAACATAAGTGAAATCGTTGAGTGAATAAAGGAACGTTTTTCCTAATTTTGGTTCACTTCTGGTGAACAAATTAAGGCCAGTACAGAAAAATTAATATTGCCACATTTTTTTTCTCATAAAAACTGAGAATAGAATAGATACGAATCAAAATCGTTCTAGTCATATCAATAGCAATTAGGTCATTGTAAGTTTGAATAAGACATTTGCGCGATTTGAGTGACAGTATTTTTACTCTCGATATATGATATAACGATTTGAGAACTCACGCTGGCGGGCGCTTTTGCTAGGGAAGATCGTGAATTTCAAACGTTGAGCAGTGCGTAATTAATCGTGCCCGATGCGAGGTCACGAGCAACGTCGCGTCGCGGATAAGTGATTGCGTCGATCCTTTAGGATCCTTTAGGATCTCGTCGGTCCCCTCCTGATAAGCATGACCGATAAACGGGGTCTCCCGCGATAAGTCGCAGGCGCTGCTCGGCACGGTGGACGGACACCGGCCGAGGCAACGGAAATTCGCCCACGCCGAAAAAGAGGGCCCAAGTTTAAACGCCAGTCATCGCGACTGTACGGCCCGTTTGATTCATACGCTCGTGCGTGCTCGCGCGATTTAAATTTCAAATATTCAGCGGGATACACCTCTCGAGTTACACCGCGCGCGCGGTCTTATGACAAAGTGCCGTTGTCACGTCGGACAAGACGGGCGGTGTGGGGGGTCCGGAGTGTGGTGAATTAAAATAAATAATAAGAGATTCCGCGCGCGCTTTCGCCCACCGTTTCGTGGGAACTGGCACGTCTGAAAATTCGACAGTCGTTTCGTCGACGACGACGACGACAATGACGACGTCGTTTATTATTATTCACCTGTCACTTCGTTATCGCGAATCCCAACGACTGGCGGACGGCTTCGCCGGCGCTCACGATTGATCTCAGCGCGTCGGAAAGCGCTCCCTTGGTCGGCGCTTTATGGAGACACCGGAATTAATTCGTCGGCCTTCCTCTCGCCCGCCGATAAACTTCCCCGTCGGTCGCATCGTTGTCATTAAGCCCGTACGTCGCCTATATCTACGAAGTGGGCGAGGTCCTCATCGGGAGTATCGAGAGGAAGTGCCGTTAGTCGCGGAACAGCCGAAACACAACCGTGCCGCCGTCGCCGATAATCAGCTCGAGCGAGCGCGATCTCGCCGGGAGAGAGAAAGAGAAAAGGACAGAAGGAGAGACCTTTCTCTTTCTCTCTCTCTCTCTCTCTCTCTCTCTCTCTCTCTCTCTCTCTCTCGGCTCTTAATGGCGGCCGCGGCGTTAATGACAAATGGACGGCCGATATCGTCATGGCGTAAAAACGCGACGAATATTCTAATCGCGTCTCGTTACGACAACTCGCCGCTTTTTCATCGTTTCCTTCGACCTCCACGAGACCCCCGTTACTCCGGGATCGCCGCTCGTTCCGAGAGACGAGTCTCGGTTCGCGGTGCACACCTGCCGGCTAGCTGGCTTTGCGCACCGCCGATACCTGTTGTCTCTCTTTCTCTCTCTCGTCGGGATCGGTAAGACGGCGAGATTTTTACGCGAACGATCGCCCGGACTGACGTTTAATCGCTTTCAACGCAATCCGAACGTTCCGACAGTGTAGCGCGCTCGTAATAAATCGTTCGTGATTCTTTTCGCTTTTCCTTTTTTTAACTTCGACTCTTTGCTCGTTAACCTGTTCGCTTTTGTCGTACGCCGTAACCGCCGTGATAATGACAGCCCGGATACATAAATTTCGCGCAATGTGCCGTTTCGCGACTATGACGTTCCATTTTCTCTGCGATTTATATTTATTGCGGGGGGCAGAGATTACTTTATCGACAGATATTCGGGAATTCATTTCAAGAAAATTATCAAGTGAACATCTTTGAATTTTGTGCATACGTAATGAAGTAGTATATTTACATAAAAAAATAATTTGTTAATTATTTTTGTGCGGAAATGACGCCATTTTCTGGCCACTACCTGTAGCTCACTCACGTCTCTCTGGTTTGCACGATTTATGTTTGCGATAACAATCCCATCAAGAAAACGAAAATAGTTTCTTATAAAATAGTATTATAAAATAGTGTTGTAGTTTCCCGATTTTTGTTTTAGCTCTTTTTCTAACAAAATAAAAAAGTGAATTTTAACAAATAGCTTAATTTCTTCTTTGAAATGAATCGAAAACTCTGTTGCTTATGTGGGAATAAAAATTCGAGCCCGAAAGATTATAACTATTATTTATAAGAAATTTTTTTCATTTTTCTTCTTTGAACTATTAAACATATTCATTTCATAAACATATTCCTCTAAATAAATTTCCAAATATTGTTACTTTTTATATCTAAAGAAGAAATTCGTTCTTCTTTAAGTCTGTTAGCGTATGTACTCTTTTTGCAAAACGATTTATTTCAAAGCACGTGATGAATTCTATTTTATATTATACCGCCACAGTCTTGTTCCATCTCTTTTCTTAATCCCCTCTAACCATTTCGCGATGGTGTAGTTTCCTACGGAATTGTGTCTCTATGTATATGAGCATAGCAGTTGACTTAACTACAAAATAATAATATTTTATAATATGCGAACGAAATGATATCAAATTCGATTACAACAAAGTTGATCTCGAATTCGAACTGTCACTCGGTCACGACATTATCGTTATTAGGTTGCAGCTGCAGCTAATAACGCCGTAAATAACATCGTGTATCATTACGGAAACGCCGTCTATTAGCACCTCACGCCGCCCACATAAGTCACCAGGTAAATTACTGTCATTGACGATCCGGCGTTGTTAACAACAACGTTATGTCAGCGCAATACCATCTGAGCCAACGACTCTGTTTTTCCCGCGGCAGCCTGTAATCGAGGGTGATTTTTCGCGGAAAATTAATTTACGACCCGCTCACAGGGTATCGTATGTCTTGTGAGCTGAGGTCGAACGGCGAGTTTTTCATGAAATCATATAACGTGATCGAAGAACCTGATCTCGCGCGGAACGAGTCGAAGGCGCGCGTGGCGTTGTATTATTGCAAATAAAATGCGCACATCGGCCGAATAACCGCAATGCCGTCGTTGTTCTCTGTTTCAGGACGAAGTGGGAGGTAGCACGGTGCTAGTCGAGGGTGTCGTAGGTGGCATAAGGGGCCCAGGCGGCGGGTGCCGCGCATCCTCGATGACGATGGCCGAGAGCGCCGTGGAGGACGCCGCAGCCGCGCCCCCGGGTCCGGCCAAGCCGCCACCGCCGTCCTGTACCAACAACAACACCCTCGCGGCGACGGCCAACCGCAACCACCGGAACCCGCGCAAGAAGCGGAGGCGGCTCGAGCAGGTGGTGGACACGCTGCAGGCCCACCGTAGCTCGCCGTCCGAAGGCGAGGTGCTCAAATTCGAGGGTAGCGCGCCCGCGTCTGAAGAGGAGGACGTCTTCGGCTCGCCCAGGTCGTCGTCGTCGCGCTCAGCCGCGGACACCACCTCTATGATCGGCCAGTTGGCCGTGAGGCTCAAGGACGTGGAGTCGATCACGTCGACGGAGGAGGACCCGCTCAACGAGAGCGGCGCCCAGCACCACCACCATCAGCCCCACCGATCTTATCGTTACTCGTACCACCCGCACCATCACCGACATCGTTACTCGCCGTACCAGAACAATCACCGGCTGCCCAAGTATCCCGACTGCGTGTGCGCCCAATGTTCGTCGCAGTCGCTCACGTCGATGATGTTGCCGTCGGCGACGTCGTTGCAGACACCGTTATCGCGGCCCGGCTTCTCGTCCTACAGCAGCATATGCGGCGCGTACAGCAGCATATTCGAGCAATACATGAATAGCAAGTACCTGTCGTCGAGCGACACCTTCCGCGGTCGCAGTCACTCCGATTCGGACGTCGTGCCCAGGTGGGGCGATGACAGGCTGCCCGGCTCATCCACCTCCTCTTCCTCCGTCGTTGTCGGCCACCCGCCGCGTAGCGGCTCCCTCGAGAGCGACGGCACGAGTCCTCAGGAGTCACCGTTGGACCTTTCCATGAAGAACCTGATGCAGTCGGCGGCAGCAGCAGCAGCCGCCGCCGCAGCGGTCTCCGCCAGGTCGCCGGCGCTCCAGCTCTTGCCACCCGGCATCGTGACGCGAGGTTCGGTCAGTGTGCCGGTGGTTAGGGGCGACGTCGCCTCGCCGACCACCAAGGAGACCGTCGCGGTGCGATACAACCTGGAGGTGTTGCCGGTGGTCGAGGAGATGGCGCCTGGTGCGGACGTGGCTTATGTGTGCCCCGAGTGCGGGCAAATGTTCAGTCTTCACGATCGTCTGGCGAAACACATGGCGTCTAGGCATCGCAGGCAAGGTCTGCACGACGCGTCCGCCAAGGCGTACCTCTGCGACGTCTGTCAAAGGAGCTTCGCCCGCTCGGACATGCTCACTAGGCACATGAGACTTCACACAGGCGTGAAGCCGTATACCTGCCGGGTCTGCCGGCAGGTATTCAGCAGATCCGACCACCTCAGCACCCATCAGCGCACGCACACCGGTGAGAAGCCGTACAAGTGCCCGCAATGCGCCTACGCGGCCTGCCGCAGGGACATGATCACTAGGCATCTCAAGACTCACAATAGGTGCGCGGAGGGACCTACTCCCAAGACCGAGCCCGGTCTGCTCGCCGCCGAGGAGTGCCCCACCTTCGGCCAGAACATGGCCGCACCCTCGGCGATCATCAAGGCCGAATGACGACGGCCGGCCGGATGACCCTGGCTGTACTCCAACCTGAGGTCCCAGCGAGGACACCGCGGTAAGATCGATCGGGGCTCCTCGGGAAGCCGCGATCGAGCTCGGTCGAGCCATCGCGGCAGCAACGCCACGAGGGAACGAGGCCGCCGTTCGGCGGCGACCTGCGCGACGGCTGCGACGGCCGTATGTTAGGACTTACTTTCCAAGAGATCGCGACGTCGCGCCGGACGGATCGGTAGACGGGCATTTGTTTCGCTGTCGGAATTCGAGTTCGCGGGAATCCCTAGGATGTTGAAGCGGCTGTTTTCAGCGGAGAAAGTTGTTCCGTGACTCTTGGAAAACTCGTGAATCTGATTGAACATGATACACACTCCTTGCCCCAATTAAATTCGCCAATTTCACAACAGCAGTAGCAGTTTGCGCAGCAGTTTTCTCCGCTGAACGCACCTGAGACCGATACACGTTGCACTGCAACTCCAGGTGTGTTATTTTTAAACGCATGTAAGCGTGTTACATGCTGATGTTCTTTTTACACGTTTCTTGCGGCTTCAAATCACGTCATTTAACGCCTGAGACGCGTACATTATAATTTAATGCGTTTAAACGCGTGGAACGGTGAGAGACGTGTAAAAAGAGACTCAGCCAAAATAACACACTTGGATGTGTAGTATTGGGACGACGCGTTTTCTCGCGCGATACAATACGCTCTCCAATTTCACTCTTTCGCTGCGACGAGTCTCGAGAGAATGTTAAAAGTGCTCTTGGTGAAGAATTATTTATTGCACGTGTACACTAAGTGCCGTATGTGCCGTCGCACTCGTTGGAGACGGAATTACTGCGAATCCAAGTGTGTTATTTTAACTGAATTCTCCTTTGCACGTTTCTTTCAAATCACATCGTCTGGCACGTTTAAACGTATAAGATTATAATTCATACGCATTAAACGTGCCGCATAACGTGATTTAAAAGCACAAGAATCGTGCAGAAAAAGCCTCGGTCAATTTAAACGCATTTAAAAATAAACACGTTTGGATTCGCAATGGTCTCCGAAAATTTCCATTCGTACGCGACGACATCTGGACATTCGTATGTCACGATTGTTGATTAATGTTGCATTTGACAAGCCAACGACGTTGCGAGTACTTTCTCGCTTCACGCATAGTAAATTTGTCTTTCACACAACGGCTGTTTCTGAATACAAATATTTCTGATCTGAATAATATCTAAATCTAATATCTAAATTCTTATTTCCTGGAATAATCGACAGTCGCAAGATACCCGAATATTCAGATGCGGCGCGTAAGAGTGGAAATTCCCAAGAGTGTTGGACCGACGTTTGCTATTGTATAATTGTTCAAATATATTCCTTTCCTCTTCGTTCGTGATACGCTCTAAAATCCGCAGCCAAACTGAGAGACGCGAGTGAGACTTTTACGTTCTGTCGCGTCAAATTTTCTTAAAAGTCCACAAATCCCTTTCCCGTGCAATTCTTGCCAGCGAAAGAGTTAAATTCGCGACGTCGGGGATTCATCACGACAAGTTACGGACGAGAATGGAAGAGCCGAGGCTCCCGTGAATGCTAGATCGTGTTACTTGCAACAATGAAAAAAGAAAAGGAACAATCGATTTCTCGTCCGACGATCCTCCAGATCTCCTAGGGATTATCCCGTTGTATCGCCCACACAGCGAGCAGTGCTAAACAGTATTATTGTACTTCCTCTTCGAGCCCCGTTTCCTCTTGATTCCGCTCCCGCGACTCGCGTACTCTTAACGGCCGAAATTCGCGAAACGTTTCACCGGCATTCGTTTGTACCGGCCGTGGGACGGTCCGACAACAGCGTCGTCTCGCCATAAAATAAAAGCTTTTGTTGTGCCGATGAACGATCAACAGGCGTCGACGAGGACGCTTCGAGATCGAGATACTCGAGGTATTGGCTCATCAGCGAGCTGTCTCGCTTCAAACCTTTGCACCCCTTACACGGTGTTCTCATGTTGAATTTTGCGTCATCTTCTTGTCGCTTTCTCATCGCTGCTGTTCACTTTGACGTGCGGTAATCAACGTCGACGGCTGTTCTCGGACATTTCATGACCGTGGTTGTTGCAAAATGATGTATACACATATCGCTCCTCTTATCCTCCGCTCTCTCGTTCTCGATGCATAAAGTTAAGACACGCAAACGACAAAGTAAAGCATTCCTGCTCGGCCGCGCTCCAGGCAGGCGCGGGTACGACGCACGACGAAGGATACGTGAAGGGGCTTACGAGGTGCTTCACCGCACTCGTTACACTCAAAAAAGGGACGTTTTGCTGGTCCAAGTATAACTACAAGTATCAGTTTGTCGCTGTTTTATGTCTGTTAGAAAATTGTCTATGGCATGTAAAATTAACAGCAGCAGCATTCCAATAATGTCTGCGACCAAAGGACCATGTGTAAAGTGGGCGGATTTTGACCTGAAAAATGTAACATAAGTTGTAACATGTGATGTTACGTTTTGGGGTCGCTGAGTATGATGATAAAAATGGAAATTCGTCTCAAAGTTAAAATGTTATTTCTAATGGTAATTCGATCAGTGACGATGTTGTTCCGATATCATTTATGATATAGTGCTTTAGTTTCGTAACTTTTTTTGAAGAAAACTGAGGAATCTTTTCAAGATGAAACGCCTCGAAAATGTTAAATCTAACATAGCGAAGTTGATGTGATATAAAAACTAAAAAAGATAGTAAATTTTCTTATTTGAAGAATCTTGAGGCTCGTTAGAGACGCGACTGTATATATTGCGCAGTTTTGAGGATATTGAAATGATTGATGGTGGACTTCCATACCACTTCACAGGTTTTACTAAAGAAAAGGAAAATTCAGCATTTCAGATAAAGAAATTTAGCATTTCCTTAATTTTCAATGAAAGACAGTTATGAAACCTGAGTTATATTATACAAGTAATGAAATAATTGGAACAAAATTGTCACTAACCGAGTTATTATTAAGAATGGCTTATTTCGATCCCTTTAAGGCAAATTTTTACTTTCTCACGGGTAAAAATGGCGGATAAGAATGTTACCATCGGCGACCCAGAAAACGTAAGATTACATATATATATATATATATATATATATATATATATATATATATATATATATATATATA